GGGGGGGAGAAAGAGCATCTTATAGCTAGAAGGTCCCCAGGCAATGCCCGCTCGTCCTTCTGTTAAGGATAAAGTAAGAGTGAAGGCGTTAGTGTGATGATTGGCATAAAAGGCGGAATTTTGAAATTTTGTATTAGCGAAAGCTGAGACTATGAGGGGAGGGGGGTAAATTTTGACGGCGTTAAGGGGTGGTAAATTTTGATTAATTTAAATCGGGAGGGCTGCATGAGAAGCTTGCAGTCTAAATAGCATTTAAGAATCCAGTCCGTACCGCGAAGAAAACACAACGCCTCACCGTTACAAAGATCAACTGGTTAACGCTGTTTAAGGAAATAATCGCTGTTTAACTGAGAATCATACGAAACACGTACATAAGTCTGTCGGTAAACGGTAGAACTGGTGATTGTTAAAACCGGTGGTACATTTAATTACCACTTGGGTTTTAAAGTGTCAACTCCAGCAGCTTTCACGACGTGACTGCAAAATTAAGAAGAATCTATACGACAATTACGATCTCATATGAATTATATAATAAAAGATATAAGAAAAGGAGACAGAGAAACTTTCACTGCCTGCGAAAGGAACAAGGCGGAATATTAATTAAACACGTTAATATGCGCAAATACAGACAGAAGTTTGACGAACTGATCACTTCACTTTCTTTCCACTGTCACGCGTGCACTTTGGCAGACAAAAAGCCGGTTGAAGTCCACGTCCGAAACATTTAATCGTTTGTAAACCAAAATCTATGAGAGCCCTTTTGATCTCTGCCCTGGTTCCTAAACTGCTTTACGTTTCTCACGAAAAGCGTATCATACGAGGCGCGTCCTCAAAGTAAGTTTCCCACTCGTCCCACAGCTAGCAAACCTTATATTGCGCGAAGCGACTGTGCGTACGTGATAGAGCAATGACGTAGCATGGCGCATGCACTAAAGGCACTTCCCGCGTTCTCACAGTAGCATCGTTGCAGCTGTTGAAGATGGAGGTTCTTATTCCAGCCCCCGCCGACTGTGAAGTGCGGTCAGTGATAACGCTAGGCCGCACACGGCTCGACAGACAGCAAGTCTCCTGCAGGAGTTCAGCTGGGAGGTGTTTAATCATCCACCCTACAGCCCGGACCTCGCTCCCAGTGATTTCCATCTTTTCCTACACCTCAAGAAATTCCTGTCCGGTCAGCGTCAGCGTCAGCGTTTTGAGAATGACAGAGAGACAGAGATGGTTGTCACACAGTGGTTCCAATCCCAGGCGGCAGACTTCTACGACACAGGTATTCAAAAGTTGGTCCCCCGGTATGACCAATGTCTCAATTCCGGTGGCGAATATGTTGAAAAATAGCTGGACACTTGCTGTATCTGTTGCAATAAATATTTCCATGAAATTGTGTTTTGTTTCTGTAAACGGCCCCAGGGAAACTTACTTTGAGGACGAGCCTCGTATCATAAACCAAAGTACCCCATTGCATGTCAATTTATACCAACAAAATCATCTACCACGACTGAAATCCAAGTTTGGTCGAAATCGGAACCGGTCGTTCTCAAATTATGAGCAATACGACACACAATTCTTGCGTCACTGGGTTATTTACGTAATATTTTGAACATTTATGTATTTACGTACTAAGTACAAAGAACAGCGATTTCTCGGAAGCAAACAATTTCTCAGATAATCACGACATTTCCGTTTTGACGAACTCAAAGAACGAAGTCCTTCACAACGTACATTTTTCCTTAAACAATTTTAATATTATCCTTCTAACCACGCCGTCATTATCAAGCTCTGTTGCATTGCTGAACAGTCACGAAACATATCAACTCGCATTCGAAGTGACGATGAGCGAAGTGTGAACGGAAACGACTAAACTCGGTCGTAGGACGCTGGATACAACCATCAGCTTCCCTCGGCTATTACCCCTGTCCTCCTCACACGTGACCGTCACACAAATCTCAGATTCTTTCGTATCGATTTTGAGGCATTTGCAAGCGGTCGGGGTCTCAGCGACAGGCATCAGTTGCGAATTCTTAACATTTTCTCACCTTCTGACTTATCAAGAAGAATCTTCAATGCATCATCAAACTGATTAGTGTGAGACCGTTTCGAATGGACTCACCTGACTCAGGATAATATTAAAAAGGGTCTTAAAAATATACAGACCGTGAAAAAGACAGGGTCCACTGGGGCGGGGGGCAATGTATACCTTCGGGTTCCGTAAAGAACGAGAAATGTTTTGATTCGATCAAGGACTGTCAGCTTCGAAACTTCTCCGCTTGATGGAGTTAGTCGTTTGAGGAGGTTAGGTTCTGGGGGGCCTCCAAACAGAAGGCGAGACACCCGAGAACTGATTCAACTACTTTGTTTCAACGCGAGGGACATCACTTTACTTCTGCCGGGCGAAAAAATACGTCGTCCAAACCCTCATAGAACGTCCCCGTCGACCGGAGAACAGCCTACAGCTCCCCGTTTCTTCTGATATCCGAGCGCGATACGTACGAGGTGCGATCGGAAAGTTTCAAGACTGTATCAATAGAGGGCGAACCGGATGTAGTTCGAGCTTCTGCCGC